AAATGGCCTCAAGTTGCACCAGGGGAGGTTTAGATTGGACGTGAGGAAAAATTTCTGTACTGAAGGAGTGGTGAAACATTGAAACAGGCTGCCCAGGGAAGTGGTTGAGTCACCATCCCTGGTGGTGACCCTGAGGTATTTAAAAGACGAGTAGATGAGGCACTTAGGGACATGGTTTAGTGGACATGGTGGTGTTGGGTTGACGGTTGGACTCGATGATCTTAGAGGTCTTTTCCAACCTTAATGATTCTATGAAATTGGGCTTCTTGGGAGCTGAAATAAGGTATTTCACTTTATCCAACTGGTGTTGGAAAGTCTGCCTTTCCTAGGGCTCAGAGTGCCTAAAGTCAACAAAATGCAGTAATGCCACCACATCTAAGTGAAAAGAACCTTTCACTGCAGGATTTTCTCCTTTGGTAAACTGGACTTGGGAGACATTGAGAAGATGGTAGCCAGCTGGTGTGAAGGCAGCTTTGGAAGGGAAAGGTAATATTTCAATAACAGGAGAAGGTAACGACTTCTTGAGTAGGTACCTATAGTGGACACCTATTCCAAGTACCAACCAGTGACTTGGAAATGGAAAGAATTCACTCATTGCTTTTCCCTGAAAAGTCTATCTACTGCGATTTACTTTTAAGAATTAGTATTAGTGGTAGTCAAATTTCTGTGCATTAGGTATCTGAGAATGAAATTCAACTTACAGGAGAAAAAAAATACTTCTGTGAAGTGCCTACCACACTTTCAGATGTTATATACAGCACTGTTACTAGAAATGTGATGTGGTGTGAAAATGAGGGGTAAATTTATATAACAGTGGAATTAATCATACCATCTGTTCAATCTGAAATTGCAAGATGTATGTCGTGCATAGATGAGCATGATACAGTTTTCTGATCTGAGTACTACTGCATATGAGTTGGGTGCGGGGGGGGTGTTTTGGTTGACTTCTCGGGGGGGGGCTGACCGTCTTCATTTCTGTGACACAAGAAATGGCTTTTTTTTTTTTTAGCAATCGGAAATTATAATGTTTTTCAACAAGAATATGACCTGCTATCAACCCTGTTACAAAATTGGTATGTGTTCAACAGCAAAAATTCTGTAACAAATGTGTGTTGCAGAACACTGGGGTGTTATTTTGGTTTGGTTTGGTTTTGGTCAAATGTCACAACTGTAATAGATTCTCAGCACAGCATGGCCACTTTTAGGCTGAGATCTTCCTTTAGGGAAAGCGTAGTTGTGTAATTAGAGAAGAAAAAAAAAGGTGTGCTACTTACCTTGGCAGTCTCTGTCTGAGCTTGTAGTAAGAAGACTGCTATGCACTGACGATACCTATTTTCGTGCTGTATTAGGAAAGCATTTCGCAGGCTGAAGACTGTGGAAAAAATATGGAGAAATGATATAAATTCCCTCGTGCAGCTGTCAGTCCAATTTTATATCACATTGTCTGATTACGATTGCAGAAATGATATGTGTAATCATCTTTTCTGATTCTTAATAGGGCAATGCACCCTGATAGGGTTAGTTTTTTGTTGTGCGGGAAGCTTTGTTATTTCAAAAAGTTAATTCTGCTTGCATTTGTTTTATTTTAATTAATTTATCATTGTGCAGCTAAGGTGCTTTTGAGTCTAGCTGAGGATCATTAAGAGAAGTTTCCATTCCAAGTGGACTAAATCATACCTGAAGTTAGAGAAAAACAAATATCAAAAATTAAAGATAAGGCCCCATTTTTATTTTATTTCAAACAGGTCCATATGACGGCTGCTACGTAGGGAAGTGGCTGCACTTGGGCTGATGGTGGGTTTGGGCTCTCCCTGGGGCATGTGCATGAGCTGGCGCTGATGCCCGGGGTGCCCCCGGTCGGCTGCTGGCAGCAATGTCTCGCAGGGCCGGGCATGTTGCCAGCAGCCCTTTGGTTCCTGCCAAACTTCTGCAGAAGTTAATCGGTGGCTCTGGGTATGACAGCAGCATCTCCTGGGTCCTGCAGATGACTTTGGGCATTATGGGGCAGGTTTCCCTTCAAGGGGACAAATCACCATCAACGTCGCATGTCTGGAGTGAAGGGGTAGCTTAAGTCTGCTACGAAGCAAGCTTGGGGGAAGAGGAGGGGGAAACATCTTCAGGTAGCCAAAATCCTGCAGCAGATGGCAGGTGTGCTTGGGTGGACTGTTTGTGGCAGGGAGGAGGGCACAGTAACGTGTTATAATGCACTGGATTCACGTGGCATTGCTTTTTTTAGCTGGAGTTGATGTTGCTGTAAACGAAGCAATGGTGAACGAGGTGCGGGATTGCCTCCCTGCGAGCGGTGGCCCTAAGCGGAGCCCTGCTCCTGAACCCATGCAGCCCGAGGAGAGCGCAGATCTTGAGCTGCCAAGACAAGGCAGCATTTTTCTGAGTCTCCTACAGTTGACATATCTTTTTGATAAACTTATCTAGTTCATGTAGTTTGCTGTGAAGCCTTGTACTATGTAGAGTATCTTGCTGCTGTGTAATGCTTCTTGTCCAAGCATTTCCAAGTGTTCTACAGTCAGACCTCAAAATGTTTCTGGAAGATAGTGTCCTATAATCCTAGTTTTATAGAAAAGGAAAGTGGAGCACAGACTGGTTAAATTACTGCAGCAAATCAGTTAGCAGCAGCAATTTGTAGCAGCCGAGGGGGTATGTTTCAGAACTCATGCCTTCTGTCTGTCTGTGGTCAATGAGAAATACAACTTTACAGTTCTAAAAATGTATTTTCTGGGAAATGCTTGGCATCAGGCTCTCAGTAATGTTTTTTAAAAGAAATTCTGTGGCTGTAAAGATTACCAGTCTTTGATATAGTGACATACCAGTGGGTCTGGCCCCTTCAAACTTGGTGTAAAGCATTAATAGTGGAGCAATAATAAGTAACTGCAAAAATTAAATCCAGAGCAGAATGTTAAAAGGGAAGCCATTTCCTAATCAGAAAGTAAGTTGCTGCTTCCGATCTTCAGAGATGGGTTCCTACTATTACACTTACATGTAAAGTTACATCTCTTGTATAAGGTCCTGGCATTTGCAGATAGTTCTGCTTTTAGGGTAGCTTCCCAGTGTTATGGGCACACCATTATCTCTCTTATCCCTTCACTGATACGTAGCAGGCTTTGGGCTAGAATTATCCTGTATCATTATCAGCCTCCTGCCTGCTGCCGAAAGGGTATTTCTATGAAATTGCAATATATATGTTTTTTTTCTAGTCCTTGTATTGAGGTATGTTTCTTTCCAAAGTGAAATCAACCCTTAGCAAGCTAATGGATGCAAAAGTACTTGTTAGATCAAAAATAAGAGTTTCATTTTTGATTAACATGGTGGATCACTACAAGTCACATGCTACCCTTTCTGAGAACATGCTAATTAATCTTTTACTGCCACCAGTAGTAAAAGTCTCCCTGAGACTGCAAATAAATTGGCAGCATTCCCCAAGGTCACACATTCCTGACAATATTTAATCTTTTCTTCTTTTTTTTTTTTTTCTTTTTTCCTGCAAAGGGACATTTTCCATTGGCAGTGGAAGTTTTGCTTGTTATTTTACACAAAATAGTGGAAATCTGAACTGCAAGGTCCCTGCAGTAATTTTTCTCACTATTTTTATCGTACCCTGCTCCAAGGGGTCCTGTATTAGGATGGGGCTTCCAAAGTGTTACAAGACTACAGGTAGGTAACGGAGACTGCCATAACTACAGCTGTAATGAAGCTGGCAGGAATATATGGGAGAGAAATCGGGCAATGAGGTCCAGAGTGCAGGGAAGGGCCATAACCAGTGGCCAGAGCCTGGGCTGGGATGCAGCAGGTAACTTTGTCTGTGCTGCTGGTTGCAGCTGGATCATGGGGATAGAAGGACCCTGGTTGGAAATGTCTGAATGTAGGAAATGCTGTCTTGGAAAAAAAATCCAAAAATCTTATTCCTATGTCCATTAATGGCTTTTATGCCCAATCTTGTATGTGCAAACCGGAGGGTGGCTGCACCGCCCTCTCCAGCACCCTCAAGGTGTCGACCTTGCAGCTATTCTGGGCTTAGGCAGGAATGTGGGGCTGCCCTCCCCTCCACCCTGCAGGCGAGAGGCGGTGGCTGCATTTGCTTCATTTCTGCTGGGTTGGTAGGGTGACTCATTAGGCAGACAGACGGTGCCTGGAGCACGTTTAAAAAAAAGGTTATTCTTCTCTGTGTTCATCCCCTTATCTCATCTTTAGTCATTTGCCTTTTATTGCCTACCTTTATTTCCTATCAGCATTGATGCTGAATGCTAATTACTCTGGGTGAATATATTTCAAAGTTACTTTACAGGCTCTATGTTTATTTTCCATATCTACTGATTTCCTACAGAGCACTCTAGCTCCCTGAGCTTTTCCTTCCAGTCTTTAAGATTAGGATGCCTGACAGGCCCTGGAGCCCAGAGATTTGCATTTCTCTTATTTCTCCTTGGTAAAGGAGGCTCCTGGGATCTGGGCAGTGTTAGACTGAGGTGTGCAAGAGCCTGCGTGAGCATCTCAGACCAAGGGGAGGCCTGATTTTTCATGCCTGCTCTCTCACCCAAGCTCTGATTTGGTGACTCCAGGGACGTTGTATTGGCAGGGTAAGGCTGGTCACACTCTGTGCAGGTCAGTCCTCCTCCCCTCCTCACCCAAGGACACAGCAGCAGGTGTTATTGGGGCAATTTCCCCTGGCGATGTGTTTGGATGTCTGTGAGCGAGGAAGCATTGACGTATGGTGGGTAATTTCCATCCTTCAATAGCTGGTAGGGAGGTGAGTAGGAGCAGCAGCAGGAGGTAAATCTCCTCTCCAGCCCCCTCGAGAATTGCTGCTGCACACGTGTGGGGACACCCAGGAGAGCAGTGTGCTGGGGTGTTGGGGAGTGGCACAACTGAAAACATGCTGCATAACTACTACAGAATTGAAAATGTACTTGGGAAAGAGGCACGGCGTTTGACAGAGCGTATTAGGATGGTTACGGCAAGGAAATACTTGGTTCATGAGAAAGAAGTCATTGGAGTCTTGATACCTCCTTTGGGGTGAATGGATAATATCTGACAGTCGCTGGTGTGTATGTGAAAGTCACTGTTAGAGGCGGGGGACACGGAGTGTGATGTCTGTGTTAGCAGGTCATGCCTCGCAGTAAGAGCAGAGCTGTGAAGCCAAACAGTGCTGAGGCACCAGCGTTTGCCCTCCAGGCATCTGGGGGTGGTTTGTGGGCAAACAGTGTCTTATCCTTACACTGCCGCGTACGCAATGCATTGAGGTGGTGTTTATGAAGAGGTTCAAATGCACATGGGCACGTACCTGTAACGTGGACGGGGTCAACGTTTTTCAGTATCAATCTGTCTAGTGGGATGGGCTGGTCTAGGACTGTGCAAAACCCACCCTCTCTTATGAAGGACTGCAGCTCAGGAGTGAGGGAAGGACAGACAGGGATTAAGCCAGTGTCTGAGCCCCCGTATTTCTGGGAATAGAAAATGAAGTTGGTTAGCTGGTTGTCTGCCATCTGTTCATGAAGTATAGGCACTAAACAGCCCTAAATTATGTGTTTTCTCTTATCAAAGGTACTCAGGCAGCTTATTTGCCTGAAGAACCTCAGAAAAACTCATTGGTACCTGGAGTTCTCCTGCAAGGTCACACTTTGTACTAAAAAACCACAAGAGAAATGCAATACAAATCCACAGGCAGAAAACAGTCAAAGGTGTTCAAAGGTCTCCCCCTCCCCCCCGCCCCTCCTTCTTTTAATAGCAGGACTTTTTCTCCATTCCTTGGAGGTGCATTTCCCCGTCTCCCCGTGCACACTTGCGGAACACACAATTGCTGGGGCTCCAGATGGGTCGCAGCCCCTCACAGAAGGTTCATCAACACACGTACGTAGGGCAACCCTCAAAGAGACTTGCCTGTGGGCACCAGGCCTCTTGAATCCCTACTCCCTTCATTCCCCCCCCGCTATGGGATGGTGCTGCTGTTCTACCATCTCTCACTGCGTGCCTTCTCTATCTCCTACAAAGGCAGAACAGGTGCTTCTTTAAAAGAAACCAAGAAGTCTTCAAATCAGACACAAACTACTTGAGATTTAGCACAGGTCCGCTTAGCCTTAATTTAAATCATCTTCATAAACTTAATTAGCTAGATACACTCCTACACTGAAGCTTTAGGAATTTCAGGTCATCCAGTCCCTTTTTTTTGGTGGCTAAATACAGATATTTATCATCTATAGAACTCTCTCTATAGCATCTTTCATCAATAAAAATTTTCTTAGAAGAGTCATTATATCTCCATTTTAAACCAAGGGAAATCAGGGCAAAGAGAGGACAGATACAACAAGCTGTGTTGGAACTGAGAATAAAGCCAACCTTCCATCTATTTTAGTATTTCCCTGTTTTCTTCCCTTTTTTTTTTTTTTTTTTTTACTACTTTCCAACAGTTCTGATATCTCTGGGATAAAAATTTCTCAGGTTGCTGGACTGAGTCATGAGGGGAGCATTAGAAAACTTACTACATTCTCGAAACTTTTCTGAGCTTTAGGAATCCAGCACATCAGAACACCACCAGGAAAATATTAAGGTCTTGTAATGTAAATTCTGTCTGTCATAGTGTTCCTGTAACATACTGAGCCTAGAAGCAGGGTTTTGAATCAGTGTTATGGTTTGCTATTAGCATAAGGAAGTATCACCCGTCCTTCATGCCGATCAGTCATCTTTTATTTTTGTTGTTAGATCAATCTTCCAAAGTACATTCAAAATATTTACCAAGGTAAAAAAACGTAACAACCGCAACCATGTATATCTCTATCCATTATTACCTTTTTGTTACGTTTAGTTTTGGTAATTAATAGGAAATCATCGAATAGGAAGAGGTAGACGTCAAGAAGTCTTGTGCTTTCTGAGGAGGAAAACAAAAAAAATCAGTTTGGTGGTGTGATTATTTTAAGGAATTGCTACTTCTAAGATGAGGCACATCTATGAGTCACTGCATCTTACAAAATGCTTTTAACAAAGAAGCATGGTTTCCAACATAGTAAACAACTACTCATCCCCTAGTCTGCACTCTCAAATGCAGCACTTAAAAAATCATGTGTCTCTTGATGATTTTGGCTACTAATACTTGTACCTTGTAGCAGCTACCTCATTATGAAAAAACAACTACTTGCCTGCCAGGAAAAGTGACCTGGATCACCTGGAGTACCTACAAATACAACAATCAGCATGCTATAAATTAGCAAATCTTACCTGGTAAACAGTGAACCTTCTGAAAATGGCAGAGGTAAAGGAATAGGGAAGTGCCACCTTTTCCTGGTACCTTTAAATACTGGTATGCTGCGCTCTTCACAGGCTTTTGCAGTGACAAAATGTTAATTGATAGCATTGCAAAAGCCTTTCAAAGACTACACAAAATAGTGTTGGCTTATCTTTTCTCCCTAGCTTAGAGGTCATGAGGATGTGAGGGGTATAACAACAAATGTCTGTGAGAATGTTTCAAAGTCTTTCAGGTTGATCTCCAAGCCATGTGGAAGATTCAGGTGGTATTATAATAAATAATAGGGAGCAATTTAACAAAAGCAAGAGTAATTTTTTAAGCAACTTCTTGCAGGAAACCTGGACTGTCTATTGGATTTGCAGAGTTTGGACCTTTGATCTCTTCCTTGTTTATGGCTCCTCCTATCCCTTTCCATGAATCTTTCTTTAATTTCCCTTTTTGGTCCCAACTTGCCATCCTATTTCACTTCCAGAATCGCCTCCTTTCTCTGCTGCAGGCTTTATCCTTTATAATCTGTCCTCTGGCTACTCTGTACCAATAGGGCATCTCTGGGTGTGAAAAGTAGGCATGAAATGCCCAGCTACTCTTCACAGCAAATGGGGTTGGTCAGAGCTATCCAGGCAATCTTGCAGGATCCTAAAATACTTTTTTGAGTGTTTGGTTCTGAAAGGTTTGGCTTGAAAACTTCTTGTCTCATTAATGTTGCACAAAGCGACTTCAGTAACTACTGAAAATTAAAATTCTAACTAGGTCATGGATCAGCCAGCTGCATGGAGAATACAGAAACTACCATGAGGACCTGCTTACGTGCCACTGGAGATTCAAGACGACTACAGACAAGCAAGTTAGTGTGTATTAGACATCTTATAAAAACTACCCTTCTGTAAGTTTCTATGAAGTCAAAAACTTCGTAGAGGGTTCTCCACAGCATCTCTTGTACAGCAATAGGCTTTTGTGGGTGTTACACAGGAAAGAATTATTTGTTGTAAACTTTGTCTACTGCTGTGGACAAACTTTTCTGTTTGATTTATACTGTGTTCACAGAGTCATTGAATGGCATCAGCTGGAAGGAACCTCTGGAGGTCTCTGGTCCAACCCACTGCTCCAAGCAGGCCAAGCTAGAGCAGGTTGTTCAGTCAAGTTTCGAATATGTCTGGGAAAGGAGACTCTGCAACCCCTCTGGTCCCCTGTACCAATATTTGACCACCCTCATTGTTAACAAGTTTTTCCAACTATCTAATGGGGGAATACCCCATGCTGCAACTTGCAGTTATGTTCATCCTTTCTGTGTGCAATGCCAAGATGCTTTAGCTCCATCTGCCTTAAACCAGCCATTAGGCAGTTGAAGACAACAGTAATGTCTTCCCTGAGCCTTCTCTTCCTACATCTGAACAAACCCACTTCTCTCAGCTGCTCCTATTCTCAGTTACAGGATTACAAAAAAAACTCATGCAACTGTGGTCTCAGTGATCTCAGTTTCATTCAAACAAGCGCAGTTCACCTTAACACCAAATTTGTGTGAGTCTGTTCAGAGTGGTGACTTCAGGATATGCTTCTTTCTGTTGTGAGGCATTTTATTTGACTTGTGATTTCATTTTTGTCTTGAAAGATATTTCATTCAGACAAGTGGCCAAATGCCAGGCACTTTTATATTGCAGATTGCAGGCAGCCGGCTGTCTTGATGGGTAAGAGTTATGCTTACACTTCCTTCTCCATTTTCTAATTACATATTGCAGAAAGAAATGTGGCCACCCGATGGCCACCCTTACCTCCTGCATTGGGAGCTCACGTCTCATCAAGAGAGCAATGAGTGCAGAGGAAAGCTTTGTCAGGAGAGGACTCGGTGGCTTGCTTTCTCCTCTGCCCACCCCCCCTAAACATCAGCAGCAACCTTTTCTTCTGCTCTCCATGTCCCTGATGTTGTGCCTTCTTCTCTGCTACTATAATTCTCCTCACATGGGAAGGAAAACAAAAACACTGAAAAATGGACTGTGTCCCTTTTGCTGCTCCCTTTATAACAGTAATAATGGTGGTGGGAGACAGAAAGTGTTGTGTGCTTATTCTCTTCACCTCTGCTCCTGAGGAGGTGGTGAAGGAAATGTAAGACATGGGCTGTGCTCATTTCTGTCAAACCATTGCTACAGCCCTGCAGCCACCATGGCACGCAGCTTCCAGCATCTTTTCAGATGATTGTCTTTTCCAAACTGCCCAGGCTCTGCTTCCTGCTCATGCAAGGAGGAAATTCTCCTCTCTTGTGCAGGTAGAGGTTCTGCAGTAGCTCCCCAGCAAGCAACCTGTGCCCTGCTACAAAGCGGTGCCTGTGTGTCTGGAGATGTGAGTCTCCACTCTGCCAGGGTGATAAACAGCTGCGAGCAGTGTTGTAGAAATCAACATGCTTGTGTGGGACCACTGTGCTACCTGTGGAGTTAATGGCATGTTGTATGAGTGCTCTGTTCATAAAAGGGAAGCCACCCGGCAGGATAACACCTTCTTGTTCCAAGGTATCCATCAAAACAACAGTCTTGGAGATGAAGTATGAAATAAAAATAGGAAAAACCTCTGGACTTTCCAGTAATTTTCAATGAAACACATAGCAGATATGGTGCCAGAGAGGTGAGGTATGTTGACATCGGTCCCCGGGCATGTAGGGCACCTTGTATAGGACAGTCTAAACTTCCCGTTTTCCTATTGCCACGTTCTTGAACCTGACAGTAAAACGCTCTCTTTGAGAGGCAGGCATTGGCCAGTCAAACTGATTTCTTCAGCACCTGGCAGACTGAATATCCAGATGTGACAATAAACAATCATGCAGATTACTCATGCTTTTGGCAGTTTGGCTGTTTCTCGGTCTCTCTCTGACAAGCTGTACACTTGCTTTTTCTTTCCCGCACCTGCCCAAATACTGTTGCAGAGGTTCATTCTGGACCTGCCATAACAAAATATGATTCTGTTAAGCTAACGCCTGATACCAGGACATTTAGGGATGTTACCTGCTATGGTTAGCCTTCCTTCATGAAGGAGAAGTCTGTTTGCTGAAGACAAAATGTTTTCACTGCTGTTTTCTCTTAAGCTTTGCTTCAAACACTTGACCCAAAAAAAAAGAGAGAGAGAGAGAGAAAATGGGGAATCTTGCATATCTGATGATGAACTAGGAGGCAATCAGCAGTTAAACAAACTGAGCACACGTGTGCTTTTACCTCAGGCTAAATACATCACACAGCTAATGACTGAGCATGTCTGAGTTTCTTCAGCAGTGCTATTGCTTAAATGTGTTTACGCTTTTGAAATGTTAAGTTGGGTTTTTCTTTTCTGGAGTGAGTTTAATGGTTTTTGCAGCCCTGTACGTGAACAGACATAATCCTTGAGGTGAGACCCACTTGATAATGTTACCATAATGCTGCTTAAAGTCTATCTGTATGGGTAAGGGAGTAACCGCAGCAGAAAGGTGCGCGTGTTCCCAGGTATGCTGTGTAATTTTTTGTAATGCTATTTAAATGTAAATAGAAATTTCTTTGGCTCAGCTTGAGGAGTGAGAGAGGCAAATAATTTCTACTTCGTATCCTCATAAACAGGTAGTAATACTTAGATCTATCCCATTTCATTTTGCCCCCTAAAAGCAAACACTGGAGAGTCCTCCTGGATCATACGATCGTACTCTCTTGGATGCTAGCTGAGAGCAACCCATGCTGCCATCCAAGGCACTGTGCACAGCCTGCGTGTTCAGCTACAGTGTTTGCAGTGCTCAGGCTGCAGCTGCTCCTGTCAGAGCAGAGCCATCCCCAGTAACTAAAATATAGACAATCAGACAATCAGCCAACTTAGACCACGCTATAAAGATAGATAGGAAACTAAACCTTCCTCAAGGAAAAATGCCTTTTAAAGAACCGCTTACCTCTGGGACAAAGAATCTCTTGTCACGATCCCAGACCTGAGGCCAAATTATGACCTCTTGCAGCTGCCTGAACTTCTGAAAGTTGTCCAACCACTTGACTTTACCTTCCAGATCCCCTGAAATATGTGAAACATCAGTTACTGCCAAGGCTGGCAAAACCAGTCCTTTTTCTAGAAGATGCTGAATACTTCCAGTGGAAGCCAAAGCACCCCACATGTGAAGCCCCAGGTGAAATCCTGGCTTCATTGTGAAAAATGCCTAAACTCCTCTTAGGTCAGCAGAGCCAGAATTTCAAACCATGCCTTCAAACATGCTTAAATTAACTGCTAAATGAAAAGGTTGTATTTACTAATCTGACTGGGGAACAGGGGGAATCATATAAAACTCAATTAAACTGTAATATTAAAAAGTTCTTTAAAAAACAATCCTGCCTTTCTAAACTGTCTGGGGTAGTGAGAGAAAAATAATTTTCATTGTATACAGCCTGGTCAAAAGACTGTTGAAAGTAATGAGAATTAATTTTTGGGGAAGTGGTGCCAGAAATGACTGAAGTATTTAACTGGGATGGGGGTGCCTCAGAATGTGAAAAATGGGGACTAAGTCTTTGCTGATTCAGGGCCATTATGAGGAAAACTTTAATGGACCTGCAACTTAAATTCCAGGTTTTTGTGTTGAGTGATATTGCAAATAACGGTTTCAGACACACACACACTCATACAACAGAAGGGGAATGCTGGGACTGCAACTGTTCCTTATGTCACTGATTCACTGATCAAAAAATGAAGGCAGATCTTTGTCAGGTGTCTGTGAGTAAAGAGGGGTCACCCCTCTATCTTTGGTTTCCTTGACCCAAAGGTATCTAAACTCTGGAAGGACCTATTTCTTTGCCAGTAATATTCCCCAGATATCCCATGGTCTTTTGGGGCCATACCTTCTGCTGTCCTCCCAGCAGAAGTCCCCAGACTAGTGACAAAACCATCTTATTTTCCTATGGGACCTGTTCCATGCTGAAAAGTGTGCTCCTTGTGTCCCATTAGGCTAGACTCCTCATAAGACTTGGCAAGAAGAGAAAGAACCTGAGTCTCTCTTTTAGGTGGTAATTCTGTCATTGGAGTTTTTACCCAAGAAGGAGGAGCCCCATATTTACTTATCTCTAGAAGACATTAACTCTCTCTCTGCCTCATCTCCCAAGGAGATGTTTGAGCCTTCAGCCTCCAGGATGGGGAGAAGGATGGCAGCAGAGAGCGAGCCACCATGCTGGGTGGCTCAAGGCCCTGGTGTGCTGCTGGTGAGGACGGAGCGCTGCCTGGCACCTCTCCTGCCAAGACTGGCAGGATAAGTGTTTTGCTGATGCACTGTCTTGTCTTTGATTTCAGCGGGGGCTGCATGAGGCCTTTGGGGAATAAACCTATCTGCTGATGTACTATATGACCATAAGACACTTAGAGATGCATTTATAGCTTCCCGAACAAGACTGAATTAATAAATTATTTAGAATTAATAAATTATTTACTTAAAAAAAAATGCAGGGAAAAAAATAAAAACATTCCTGGACCAACCCCTTCTTTTTCCACAATAGCTAGACAAAATCTGTAGCTGAGATAGCTCTTCAGCTACTTTACATGGTAGGACCCTGTCACTTAGTGAAAGGTCACTGCCATAAAATTCCCCTTGTGAGTGCAATTTTATCCTATTAAGGATTAGCCCCAACAAATCCTCCCTAGACATAAATCCAACTCAAAGACGTCTTTGTTTGAGATCTTTCTTGATTTGTTCCAATTTGTGATCTGCTCTTAATTGTTTGCATGTCACTGCAGACGGTTCTGAGCAAATACAAGTGACTCACTGATTTGGGAGTCCTGTGACCTTGCTCAGAGAGGCTTTGACAGCACAAGGGTGGCACCAATCATTTCATACAGAATAAGGAAGGGCTCAGAATTGTAGAAAGGCATGCACATCCTAATTGCATCTCTGCAGGGAGACTGGACCCATTCATACTCAAAGGACATGCACAAAAAGACCACATAACTTGCTAATTGTTAATTGCACACTTGACTTTTAACCTTAGCTACTTACGTATGGACTTTTCCACCTTCTCTTTAAGTGACCAGATAAAGTCTTTCTCTGTTTCACCAGTGCTCCTCTTCCAGATGTTGTTAAGGAGGAGGGGATAGCGTGTCAGTCGATGCAAAGGAGCGACCAGCAGCTCGGACAGATGCAGCCTCTTGCACTGTTCGTTTTGTTCACACCACTGCTGAAGACAAGGAAAACCTGCCTTAGGCCACAGCTTGTTCCCTAGTCAGCATCATCAGCTGACTGTAATGAGACAGGGACTAATTAAAGATGAACTTCTCGCACAGTAAGAGCACGGGCAGTGTAAAGGCTCTCTAGAGGGGGAATTGTGTCGCTCCTCCAAATTCACTTTCTGCATTGCTGCTTCCCGTTTCAGATGCTGTGGCCATGTTAGCAGATCAACCGGTGTTCTTTATCTGCCATTTTAATTTCATGAGGAAAACTTCAGTTACGTTTGAGGGCCACCTTATGCTTTAGGGTCACCTGCTGCTTCTCACTGGGGAACTGTTTCCTAGGCGTGAGTGTATGAAATCCTTGTCAGGGAGCAAGTGATGCGAAACTCCCAGGCCCTAAAAGCTGCAGAGTTTGGCTGCTACAAAGAGGTGTCCTCCCAGTTTTGGGCTGCCTGTGAGAAAAGCCCACTTCTTCAGGTTTCTCATTCTAAGCCTGTGATGTTGAAGATCAATCTTAAGTATTTACAGGACATACTGGTCTGCTAATGATAAGTTAGAAAGAGCAGAACCCTGTGCCCGGGAGCCCCACCGCTGCACTGGCTGGAGTTGTTGCTTCAGGCAGATGCAGTGTTGGCAGACAGAACCTGCTCTAATGCTGTAACTTTACAAAGACATCACTGATAGCTCTTTCCAGCCTTAGAGGGAAGTAAATGCTCACTTACTGGTAGTGGTTTGATACCAAGTTCTACATTTGCTTTACCTATGGTTAAGCAAGACCTGTCAGAGGAGCTAAAACACTGCCATTGCAGAGGGGTTGCTTGCTGTTCTATCCAGGATGTTGCTTCCTCCCTGTGGGCATGTGGGTCAGCAAATACCCGTGAGCGAGGAGAGCAGCCCGGCTTTCTTGCCAGGGCTCAGCAAAACCCACCCTGCTCTCTCATCGCGGGCTCCCAAGACACATGAAAGCACTGACATGCTCCTGAATTTCTACTCCCGTTGTTTTGGCTTGTCTCATATACCCCTTTCCTTAAGCAGAAGGAAGCCATCATACGCTTCTCCAGTTTTGAGGTTTGTGTATGTCACTGCTGATGTAGCATAGCGTAGAGGCTGGGGGCTGTTTTGTACTCAGCGAATGTGAGCCCTGTCATCTGCTAAAGCACATAATACCCTACGTACTGTGTTCCAACCCAACATCTAAACCAAGCTGATATGCAGGACACGTATCAAAGTAAAACACTTGAGAAAGATTTTACAATGATGTGGCTTGATTTTTGTTTCTTTTTTTCTGTAACTGTCTCACTTTGTTAAGGTGGAGGTCACCAAGTCAAGGGATTATGTGCAAAACATCTGAATGATAGAGGCTGGCAGTACATATTTTCTGCCTGCAAAAATGCAGCCAGTTGTTTCCTTTTGGCTTCCTCCTCTTGCCTGTTCTAAATTGACTTTCACATCTGTGTTCCAACCCAACATCTAAACCAAGCTGATATGCAGGACACGTATCAAAGTAAAACACTTGAGAAAGATTTTACAATGATGTGGCTTGATTTTTGTTTCTTTTTTTCTGTAACTGTCTCACTTTGTTAAGGTGGAGGTCACCAAGTCAAGGGATTATGTGCAAAACATCTGAATGATAGAGGCTGGCAGTACATATTTTCTGCCTGCAAAAATGCAGCCAGTTGTTTCCTTTTGGCTTCCTCCTCTTGCCTGTTCTAAATTGCACTTTCACATGTGCAGGGGAACATACGCCCAGAAGGGTAACTTCATATGTATGATACCCTCTGCAGTTCAAAAAATCTGTGTGAAATGCTATCTACACAGTTTTGCTTCCAATGAACTTTCCTAGTGCACTTTCACATGTGCAGGGGAACATACGCTCAGAAGGGTAACTTCATATCTATGATACCCTCTGCAGTGCAAAAAATCTGTGTGAAACGCTATCTACAGAGTTTTGCTTCCGATGAACTTTCCTAGACTGCTGTTAAAATCCTGTCATAAGGCAGGAAGGCTGAAGACAACAACAACCAAACCATCACTTTACTTTCAGGTAGATGCCGAAATCTTCCCTCTGTCTCAGGTTTTCCAAGTAGAAGACAGCGGAGGTATAATTAAGGCAATAAATCTGGTGTGTCTGGCAGAGGTCACCCTGGAAAAACTGCAGAAAAGACTTAGAAACTTATCAAGAAAGAAAAATGTCATGACAAAGGGAGGAACAACAGTTTTGGTTTTGTAATGTGCATTTTACCTGAGATTTCCTCATACCTAGGAAAATAGTGGAAGGGGGAAAGGGGGAGTTAAAAAAGTAAAGGGCAAGTTAAAAAGTAGTAAAAGTGGTAAAGTAGTAAAAAACCCACAACAGTGCTCAAGCAATGCATGGGAGCACAGTTCTAACAGCTCTGAAGAGGTGTGAAGCATTCTTAGACTTTGTTCTCATTAGAAATAAATGATGTGAAATTCATGTAGAAGCTGAAGATAAAAGCCACTATCTATGCAACAGCTTTACGTGGGCTCATATAGCATGTCATTTTATATCCAAGTGTGTTAGCTCTTGGAAATGTTTAATGCCATCCATGATAAAACTAATTTTTGTCTGGGATTTTGTCTGTCTCACATGAACATTATCGATAAGAACGCCTGGAGTCAGAGGTAACGGGGGTCAGAAGCCAAGCTCTAGCCTCCCTTTCCCTTTTTAAAATCCTAACCCCGAGGTAGGGTCTGTTTTAGTATGTTCCCAGAAGTTTTCTAATGGCTTCTACTGCTAGGGAAAGTTCAGGTCCATGAATTGATTTTCTGCCTGTATTAATATTTCCAACTTTTCGGTCACTGGGAAGTTGTGCAGGAAACAGAGCCTCTGGAGACTGCTGTTTGGACAACTGCCTTGTTTACCATGCAGACTGCCTGAAAGTGTTGCAGGGCAGTGCTTGGCAGCGGCAGGACAGCTGTGTCTGTGCCTCTCTCTTGCTTAGCCAACACAGGGCAAAGTGCAAGAGGTATTTCAGTCCCATTGAGCTCTTAATTAAGCACTTAAATACATTTGTGGGTCTGGTCCATGGACTAAAGGAAGGGTCTATGCGATGGAGTGGAAGGAGGCAGGGAACATCCAGCGATGGGGCTCTGGTCTGGTCTCAGGGAAACATCTTCCACAGAGCGAGAAGCTCGCCTCTGCCAGTGGCAAAGTCTCCTCAAGGTCTGGGCTACTGTTCCCCAGGAAAGGAAAATCTTTCCACACTTTGTTCCACACACAGAGCACCTTTCCATGATCGCCTCAAACATGCCAATGAATAAAAAGAAAAACATCCGGCAGACAGGAGATGCTTGGGGCTGAAACCAAACTGCCTGTGACAGATGGCATGTCCTTGACAGACTTGATTGCCCTAAAGCACCTGCATGCTATGATAAATGATCTGCTGCAAGGATCTGCTGAAACTAAGCAAGAATACTTCTAATTATGTTACCTTTCTGAGTATGGAGCTGAAATCTGTAGGAGATTCTGACTTGCTGACATGCTCCTTCACAGTTTCAAAAAAAGTTTTCAGAAAACTGAGACTTATCTAAGTAAGGGGAAAAAAAGGAGAAATTAGTATCAGTGATCTTCTGAAGTTAAGTTTAAAACAACCGTATTTCCCATCCCTGGTCTCTTCAAAGGCTCCAAGCCTAACGGGGTGCCTATACTTATCTCCCTGACATTGCCTGAATTAGCTTCAGAATTACGCCTGGAGTGCTTTAATTGGTCAGAAGCTAAAACAAATCTATACAAATACCCACTTACGTCGTGCTAATGCCATATGACAAAAGCTTTGAAACAAGATTAGTTATTCCATTTAAACTTATTTTAGAGTGGCAGCTGTATTTAACATGAATTGACATGAAAAATTACAATGGATGAATGGCATCTACTGGAAAACACTGATTGTGTATGACAGAGCTGTGACAATTAAGGAAGTCTTCACGGTCACTTGAAGAAGATACCGTCTTTCATAGTTTGAGTTTGTTTCATGATATTGGAGATGACAGAAATGTCTATAAAATACTATAAAAAGTCACATATTCCCCATAAGTTAACTTTATATGTTTGCACTGGATTCAAGGGTGCCCACGCTGTCAGTGGGTGAAAGCCTGCTCCTAAGCCCACACTTGCCTCCTGAACACACTTTGCACGCAAATTCATGACCAGGCTCAGCTTTAGGCCAAATTTTAGGCCAGAAGGGAACACCATCCTCTGTGATATTGCTATGAACTGCTGTTGTAACTGCACAGACTTCTTTTTTTCGTGTATTTATGGGGGCAGGGTTGCTTATAGAATGGTGCATTTCTTTCATTTTGACAAGGGTGCATTTTACACCTTTTACAGCATGCATTTTTTCATGGATTCAGCCTGCTGTCAAGAAGAAATGCATGCTGCAAAACACATGGAAAAAAAGCATAAAAGGCATTCATTTGGCAGCTACTTTCTCCTACATTTGATCACTATTTTATATACAAATATGCATAATAGATAATTATTTATCATCCTCATTAATAAGGACAACAAAATTAGAAAACAAAATAGAAAATGTATTAAAGATAATTCTCTCAAGACACAACCAAGCTCCAGCCAAGCTCAAAGCTTTTGTGGTCACTAAATGGCACACAGCAATATAGTCCACTCCCTTTGAACAAGAACAAAGGAATCGGCAGCCACACATCCACTAAACTCTAGTAGTTGGCTGCATATATGGTCTTAGCCCACAACAAGCGCAAGGTGAAACACATCAGCTAAAAATCTCTTTCCTTGTATCTCCAAACCTGCTCAGGTGCTCACTTACAGCAGCTCACCTGGTGTGTGGTCAGTCACTGAGCAGAGGTGACTTGCTCATGTGTTTGAGCTCTGGCTAATTGTCCCTACTCTGAAGAGCTTCCCTGCTTTTCTTGTTTTGGCTAAAAAGGGAGATGTTATCTGTTAAGGCAGGGGAATTACAATAAGGGAAAGAACTTGAAGTAAGCAGCTGGTTTAGGTCTTGTGAGCAGTCATTCAACTTATGCAGCTGAAGAGCCCCTTCCAAAATTCACTTTGCTATGAAGGGTGAGGTGTACTGTAAAAGAGCTCTCAAGCTAAGAAAACCTTCTGATTTGCTTCTAAAGTTATGTAAAAGCTATTTTGGGCTTATGGGTTCCTTTAACTTTCAGGAGCTGAAAATGGTCTCCCAGCAACTGGCCACAAGCAGCAAAGAGCTGGAGCACATCACAGCCAAGCCTCATGGTCTCCCTCCTCCTGGAAGCTGGAGGGTAAGTAGCACATGAACACAGAGCATCCAGTCTGTGTGGGAGATATCCTTCCACCCACACCGAGGGAAACCCCAGCTGGAGAGGGGTGATCATAATTTTGTTTTAACTTGTTCTACAGGAGTGGCATAATAGATAGCAAAGTCTCTGTGCCCATCTGTTTGTGAAAGGAAACTTGTTATTGCAGTTATTTTGCCATTCTTACTGATTTGCTGTAAGGATTGTGCAGTCGGAGTTTATCTTCACAAATCCTTTTAAAAGGATGCTGTTTATGAGAATTAGTCTCAAAGTCGTGTTTACTTCAGAAATAACTGCCAAATGAGCTCTCCTCCATGTTCAAATGCCTGTTTATCTTTTGCTGGAGGCACATGAGAATAATTTGCACTGCTGAAATTTGACCCCCACTGATATACCAAATAGAAATGAAAGAAAGACTAATTATTTGAACCAAGTTCCAAATGTGAGCATTGAATCTGAATAGAAGCTTTATGGATGGTTTCTTGTCTCCTTTTATTGGGCTGGTTGATTTCTGATCTCAGTAAGACTTTTAGTTTTTTACTCACCTTGTTTAACTCCTCTAAGTTTGCAAAAAGTCTCCACAAGTCCACATCCAAGAGAAATTCATTACTCTGGAGGTATTTGAGAGTGTTCATAAATATCTTTAAAAACAAAACAAATCCATGTTATTTACTATTTGTGCCAATTCAATACATCTCTTTTTTCTCCCCCCCCGAAAAGAACATGTTTGCATTGTAATTCTCATGAAATGATCATTTGATTTGGGGAGGGCAGAAGACGGCACTTTGAGAAACTTTTCCTGACCTGCCTGAAGGCTAAATATTGGGCTTTGTGCGAGGAGGAGGGTATGAATGATGTCTCTGGGGTGTCTCTGCGGCTGCTACGGAGACAGCTATGTCCCTGCTGTGCTCTCTGGCAGAAGAGGGGCAACTGAGCCCCCTGCAGATCCATGTGAAGGAATTAATAACATCAGAGCCATAGTTACAGATTTCTATGACCTTTCTAAATGCTTTCCTTCCTACCTCATGTATCTGCTGCTATATAAGTTGTTTAGAGTTACTATGGGAAAAAAAATATTGTTGGAACAGCATAAGTAGAGGGCTCATGAAGGTTTTTAATCTCTTTGGATTGTTTTATTAACCTGTATTGAGTGAAAACTGCATGTGTATTTATTGGCTGTTTAAGGTCTTGTATCATTTAAGCTCTGATGGTGATCTTGGAGCTGTGCTGAATCTAACCTAAATCTGAAAAAGGCTTAAAAAATGTAGATTACCGGGTAGAATTTTTTGTATATGTGTGAAAAGCATTAATGAAAAAACCCATCACCCAGCTGCCAAGACTGAAGAGCTAGTGAGAGTGTTTGCTTAGCCTTGTGTAATTCCAGTTGTTGTGAACAGTTGACCTGAGAGCTTAAAGGGGATTTACGGTGGTCTTAAAGTTCCCTGTGGAGATTCATTAAAATCAGTGGAATATTTCTATACTGGGAAGAACTTAGAGTAGCAGGTATCTGTAAAACTGTCTACCCAAATTCAGTGGGTTCTTTCTTTGGCAGGAGAGTTTGGGAAGCTGGCATGGACTGAAAAGTTTATCATTCATGGGTCACGGCAACCGTGACATTTATCTTCTCAGAAGAAAGAGTCTAGAAGGAAGGATGCTTCCATCCTGCCTTGGACCTATAGCTGGTCCTGTTCCCTTTCGTCTCCCTTCCTGTTCTGCCCCACCAAGGAGGAATTCAACCCACTCCTCTATTCCCTTTACTTTGCAGTACTTCTTGTACTGCCTAGGCTAACTTTTCAGCAACATGGAAAAGGTTTCACTAATCTTTTTCCTTTGACTAATAAGAAAACAGAAATTGTCTGTGCAGAATAAAAGAAAAAATGATAGGAAGATATTTAGGGAAGCTTCCATCCTTTTAAATGGGTACACTAACTTTTGATGTGTGATGAATGTAAATACTGCAGCTATTCTTGTAACAGTGTGTAGTATTCTTGTCCATATTTCAAAGCTCTTAGAATTCACCAGGATGGAAGCAATTTGGATTTTTTTGGGAGAGTTGTTTTTTAGTTTGTTTGTTTTCTTGTAATATTAGAACTACAGGTCTGCTGAATTCTGAGGTTTTCATGCTCTAGTCAGGATAATCTAACCACAGCTCTATAGGAAGTTATTCTTGTAACAGTGTGTAGTATTCTTGTCCATATTTCAAAGCTCTTAGAATTCACCAGGATGGAAGCAATTTGGATTTTTTTGGGAGAGTTGTTTTTTGTTTTTTTTTTTTTTTTGTAATATTAGAACTACAGGTCTGCTGAATTCTGAGGTTTTCATGCTCTAGTCAGGATAATCTAACCACAGCTCTATAGGAAGTTAAATGAAGAGTATAATATTACAGACTAGTGGTAGAGAAATATCCAGTAGAGTCAATTGGAGAGTGGCTTCAGTTCAGAGCTAGTGAAAGGAATAATGGAATATCAGCCGAAATTACTGGAAGGATCTGCAATCAGATGGTGTTTACAAAGCACCAGAAAGTGATGTCAAGAAGAAAAGATGCCATCAAGAAAATAAAAACCAAAGGGAATTGTGGAAAAAGGATGAGCAGGCAAGACGGGAGAAAAACCAAGCGCTTAAGTCATTCCCCCATAGACACCCAATGAGACGTTACAGGTGGCTGTATGTCTGCCATGCTGACAGCAGGGCAAATAATGTTTCATTATTTTTGAGAAATGAAATCTGAAGTTACCATCTTGAGAACCAGCAAATGATCCAGAAAGTAAGTGCATTCACTTGTGAAAAGTTCCCACACTGCTGCTTCTTTTTTCACTTCTAACCGGTAGTTGACATCTTTCTGCTCAGTCTGTTGTGCCTTTATAAATTCATGCCAGGATTTACTCTATTTAATGAAGAAGAAAGAAAACCACTGACTGTTGCATCACCTGCTTCCGACCTTATGAAAAGAATCTATGATCTATTTGCCCATTTAAAGAGCCTGGCTGCCAGTATTAGTGATTCTTCTTCTGAAAGCTTAAAGATTCCTTTAAAAAGATTAAAAAACCTGACATTTTCCTCCAGAATATTTATAATATAAACACACTGAATTGAAAGTAACACAGTATGATAGTCTATGTTTGTAGGATGCTGTATCAAAAAATAGTGGGCAGCTTGCAATGCTAAGGAATTTAATTTGTCATGCTGCTACTGCTACTGGAAAGCAGGGACCTTGCAATGCTAAGGAATTTAATTTGTCATACTGCTACTGGAAAGCAGGGATGGATGAGAGCTTCCTATTTTCCAGATGGTAAAATCAAGGTACCGAAAGACTAGGTCTTCATAGGTACTTGGATATTGTTTTGTTTAGTCCTAAGGTGGCCACTATCACCTTCCTGACCTGCTCCAAAGTCAGATGTTCATATATAAGTTAGGCATTGACAAGAGTCTTCAACAACCAAGTCTATGGGGAACTGCATATAACAGCCTGCTGTGAGCAGCAAAAGGTTTGCTTTGGAGGCGGGATGGTGTCAGGTGTGGGTTATCTGAATATCACCCTGGTAGCCCAAGCTTGGTGTTTCTATGGCTAGGGGGCCCTGGAGGCCAGGAGCCTTGTTTATCTGGCAGACAGGCTTGGATGGGATTTCTGCAGCTGAACCTTGGTGTTGGCACTGGCCTCTCCGTGGCAGCCTCTGAACGCACACCTAAGGCAGCAGTGGGGGTGACCGTGCCCCATTTGGCATCCCTGTGATGCCATAACTTCTTTCCCCAGATCTGCAGGCACTGCTGAGAGGGTTGTCTTGATGCCTTTTTCTGAAGGTGGTACCTCCTTGATCTAGGGCAGTCTGGAAGCCTGGCAAAATCCAGGTGGTTGTGAGGGCCCTTGCTAACCACCTGCGACACTCATAGTTTCCCCCTCGCCCCTCCATTTCAAACAACAAAAATATACCTTATGCTTATGCATTAATTTTGCAGAAAGGTCTCATATCCAGATTAATGTAGTGAAAAATGGTAACTTGAAAAGAACACAAAGTTTTATCTCTATCTTTAAGTATCCTTGGTACAGTATACTGAGTATTTTGATACCTTAAAGCAGAAAAAATCATATGTGCTGCAGTCTATGATCTTAACGGTTGAAAGACAGTTTTCCAGATCAGATGCTTGCTTCTGTTTGTCTTTACCCTGTTGAATGACAAAAAACCCCCCGGATTCATACAATGTTTTAAAGACCAATAAGAAGTTTACCCAGCTCAGTAACCTTGCTCGGATCTGTAAGGAGCTTGCCCTTAACTGAGCGATTTCCTCATATTTCCAGGCTCTCCTACACAGAGGTGAGGCAGTGATGGTAGGTTTATTTTTACCTATGGATGGGGTGTGTAGGTGGCTTAAGTGTGGGTGTGTAAGATCTTATTTATGTAACACAGAAATATTTGGCAGGGCAAGTCATTGGTATGGCAACAGACAACGGGCTACCCTCAGCAGACAGAACAAATAAAATATTTTGCTTCCTTCAGCACTGTCAGAAGTAGGAGACAACAAACTCATAGTTGAAATCATCCTCCTGCCACAGGTGTACAAATCTTGTGTGTTTATTTTTATTTTTAAAAATTTTTTGTGAGCTACGTATTGAAAAAACTCCTTTGGTCAGCTGCAGAGTAGTGTCTATAAAATGAGCTTTTAGAAAGCTTAAAGAGCAGAAGTTGTCTGTCTGTGTGAGGGATCATGAAATAAAAACAATTGCTTTTGGTTTGGCTTTGTTTTTGAGGCCAACAGTGCCATGTAAAAAGTTTAACCAATATTTATGAACTCTAATTTAGCATTGTTAGCATGGACTTATAAGGTGTTTGCCTAAGTTTTATCTGCTCTCTGGAACTGTATACTCATACTTCATGGATTTCTATTGTCTGAACTTTAGGCACTGAACTTAAGCCAATTTTGAAATATGTGTTTGATTATAATATTTGAAATTCAGAGTTTAAGCTCAACTCTTAGTTTTGAAAGATAGCTTGAAATGGAGCAGAAATGATAATGCCATTATATATACACACACTTAACTGATGCACCAGCAAATGAATCTTCATAAATTAAATTTTATAGCATTTAATAGTCTCAGAAATCAATTTTGGCTAAATATCAAATGCATTTTATTGCAAATTTCAAATATTTTGCTGAATTTATAAATTCTCAGTTTTAGGCCATGCTCCTTCAAATGCTATAGAAATGCTATCAAATGAAGTGGGAACTCTTGTACATGCTAATCTGAGTACTTGCATTGGTTTCACTTGCACAAACTCTTCTTTGATAGTTGAGATTTAGAAGATAAAATGCAAAAAATATTAGGAAGAGACTGTTCACAATTACATGTTTAGGGGTGCAAAGTTATCAAGACACTTGCAAATCACTTTTTGAATGATGAACAACACTCAAAAAGGAAATTCAGATACCATAGTAAGTGAAAATTTTCTTAGCTGGAAAAGACAAGGAAATGTGTTAGATAAGGAAATTAACTGAAGTGTGTTGGTGTGTATGCTTTTACTGGAGAGCGTGAGGGTGCCCACGAGGACAGCAAAGGCCTAAGAAAGCATCTAAAAAGCTATTCTGACAGGTAAAGCCTAGATCCCTTCCATGTGAGTGGGAGTTAGACAGATACTCCAGAGCCCTAAGGCACTAAGGTCTAGGTTGGCATGCAGAAAGTACAGGATACAGTGTGGTCAAAGCAACAATGCAACTGACTTACCCACCTTGTGCTCTCTTACACCGGGGAGCTGTACTGGACCTGCTGCCACCACTGAACACCTTGAATGAGAGCTCCCGCGTTGCCCACCCCATTCTGCCCTCCTGGTGCCAAGGGCACCTCTCTTCCCACCACCCATGGGGATGGGGAACAGCGGCACTGACTGTGTTTTCATGTGCATCACGTGCAGTGGCACTAGTGACTGCACTGGAGCCACCCTACCATCATTGCAGATTAATGTCCAAGCAGTCCCAGGGTGGGCTGAGACCTCTGAGTTCAGCTCACCTGCTGGCTGCCTTTCCCCAAGGGCAGTAAAGAAAAGAAACTCTTTTTACCCAGGTTAGTTATGGGAGAAGGCAAGGTCAGTGCAAGGAAAAAAACATGGTAAAATACTCACAACTCCTCTTTTGGCAAATGGCCACCTTGGCTTTTTGGACTCTAATGGGTAAAACAAATGCGTTATCAGTAAAGAAACAGATAGCTAAAAATAAAACTGTTATTTATATGTTTTGTTGGTTTTTTTGGGGGGTGGATTT